TGAACGGTCTGGAGCAGGATTTCTCAAATTTTCCTTCCTGGTAGAGAAAGGCAGTGATTTTGTTCCTAGGGGAAATACGGCAAAGATTTCCCATCTTTTTGGTCTTTTTCTTTTTTACCAGCTCAATCCTTAATGTGGGCACAGAATAGAAGGGGCAGGTTCGGCGCTAAAACCATTCTCCTCTTCACATGTCCTCGGCATTTCACTACATGCAAGCTTTGGGGATGATCTATTGTGACTGGGCATGAGAGGAACTAAAAGAGATTTCCCAATCAGAATGCAAGTAAGGGCTAGCTCAAGAATGATGCCTCCCTTAATAGCTCCTTCCTCTAGTTCCCCTGTCTACCTTCTCTCCTGCCCCTCCCGTTTCCCTGTTAAGTGGCATGAATTTTGGTGCCCAGCTCTGTGTGTGTGTGTGTGTGTGTGTGTGTGTGTGTGTGTTTGTGCATTCTTCCTCCCTTTCATCAGTTCAGGTGAGAATAAGGTTCAAGCATCAGCCTCCCACTTCCTCCCTGGTTGTAGAGAGGTCTAATTTCCCACCCTGATGACGCGAGATGATTTTCTGAATATTTTCCCCTCTACCTTCTCCCTCTCCCAATATATTCCTCTTTCCCTTTTCATTCATCTATTAAGATCACAAGATAGAGGGACAGCTAGGTGGTACAGTGGATAGAGTGCTGGGCCTGAGGAAGACCTGAGTTCAAATCCAACCTCAGACACTGACTAGCTGTGCAACCCTGCACAAATCCCCTAACCCTGACTGCCTCAAAAAAAAAACCCCCAATAATAAGACATAACAGAACTACTCCTAGACTCCCTCCACCACCGCTGCTGATCGGGTTCAGAGGAGACACGTGTGTCACCTCCCCATATTAACAGGCAAGCGGTCACCCCGTTTGGTCCTTTACCATTTCACTCATGTTGACCTTTTCACGTTTCTCTGAACTCCTGTGCTTGAGCTTCAAAGTTTCCACAGCGCTCAGTCCTCTCATCAGGAAAGCTTGGAAGCCTTTTAGTTCATTAAAGGTGGAATCACATTTGGTTTTGCCAGGTAATTAATTCTTGGTTGTCAGCCTGCATCCTCTGCCTTCTGACTACCCCATTCTAAGCTCTCCACGCCTTGCTGGCAGCAGCTACTAAACCACGTGTGATGCTGACTGCAGTTCCTCAGCCCTAGAATTCTGTCTTTCTGGCTGGCTGCGGTATTTTCTCTACACTTTGGCTCCAATGCTGTTGGGAGTTATCATTTGGGGGTTTCCTTCAGAAGGTGACCAGTGGATTCCATTTCTCCTTTGTCCTCTGGCTCTAAGAGATCTTTCAGAGCTCCCTTTGGTCACACATTTCCCATCTAACTGCTTGTCTTCATAACCAGCACCTTCTGGCCAGCTCTGATCACCTCCCTTCTCAGCACCTCCAGCCCCTGGGGACTCTGCTTCTCTCTGGCAGGGGGCCCCAGGCGCCACCCAGCAGCAGGGCCGCAGGACTCACCCAAGCCACCGGACTGTCTGGGCATTATTGTCTTCCGTTAGACCCTGAGTTCCTTAAGGGCAATCACTGTCTTTTGCCTCTCCTTGTATGCCCAGCACTTAGCACCGAGGCTGGCTCGCAGTAAGTGCTTAACAAATGTTTGCTGACTGACTAGTCTGATGATTCTCAAATTTTCTCCGCACTATCTGGGAAGAGGACTGATATTGGAATGAGAGGCCTGAGCTTTGCGGCTGCCAAGCCTTGGTGACTACGGACAAACCACAAACAAATCTCTGACCTTCAGCTCCCTCCTCAGTAAAATGGAGCTGGTAACACTACACTCCTACTCAGCAGGACCGATTTAAGCCAATTTCAAAGCATGATCGGAGCTAATCCATGAGCTCCCATGATTCTCACGTCCCTTCCTGAAATGAAGGCCGGCCTTCTCTACTGGCCTGTGCATAGTTCTCGAACTCACATCCTTGTGATTCTTTTGGGATTATAACTATGATTCTAAGCCAAAAAGAAGAGTACTTAGATTTTAGTGAGTTAGCACGTTCCGTGTAATTTAAAGATTATAGAACCAGTCAGTCTAGCAAGTCAAGAGGCCGTTTCTAGAATTCACCTTTAAAGGGACAGAGTGGGGCTCAGTGACCCCCAAGGTCTCTTCCAGATCTCATCTATGATCCTATCACCATTTCAGCCAACAATAAAATGAAGCAAAAGCAGAGGAAATGTACTTTGGAAGAAATAAAAAAACACTAGTCCGGAAATTCAAGAGTGAAGTAATACAAACGCCCAAGGGATTATGTTTTGGCAGCATAAGAAGTACACAATTAAGAATTTTGCTTACTGAACCTGCTGCACAGCGTAAATAATCCATTTCAGAAGGGAAAACATTTCCCAGGTAAAGTGAAAAGCCAGAAGTGACAAGAAGGCAACTCTGCAAAATAGAAATACAAATTAAGGTTAAGGCTGGCACTGGGCAAAATAAAATAAACCCAAAAAGCCCAACGACAAGAAAACAGCTAACTAGATAATCAGGAAAGGAGTAATTTTTTGAAAGCACAACACTTGACTAGTGTTTGGTTAATATTGAAGGAAGCTGTTAATAGACTCGAATAGCCAATGTCCAGGTTTCTGGAGCTTCTGAGAACCATTGTAGAGATCTGAACTAAGAGAGTGAATTGGTTTGGCACATGTATAGACACCTGCAAAACTGACAGAAATGTTTTGAGTTCAGAAATTTTGAGAAACAGGCTGAGGTAGTTTAAAAGGATAAAAAGAATTTTTTGGAACAACATGCCTTAAGAGTGAAAATTTTGTATAACTTAATAACTGCTAAAGCCAAAAAAGTAAGACTAAAGGGGCAGCAAGGTGGTGAAGTGAATAGAGCACCAGCCCCGGAGTCAGGAGGGACCCGAGTTCAAATGCGGCCTCAGACACTTATTGGCTGTGTGACCCTGGGCAGGTCACTTAACCCCCATTGCCTCCAAAATCAAAACAAACAAACAAAAACAAGTAAGACTAGGAAGGGTTGTATTGTACCTCAAGGAAATCCTAACGAATATGGAGTCTCTGTTTAAAGTATATGGAAAACAGAGTCTGCAGAGTGAAACTGTTATCCCCTAAGTAAAGGAGGCATATTTTTCCCACACAGTAAACTGCATCTCCTCAGCACTAATTGCTAAGGAACTGGCAGGATGATGGGGTTCCTTACCATATGGTTCTTGACATGGCCGGGATACATAGCAGAGCCTCCTCCCTCTACCAAGCTGTCTCTTACTGGACAGAAATGACTGGATCCAAGCTGGCTGGATCTTGGCTAGTGACTGACCATATCCTAGGACCCTACACACAAGTATTCTGTCCTAGCTTTATACATTTACATTTTTCTATGGAATTATCTGCTATAAAGTAGGCTATGGTCTCTAAGGCAACCAAATTTTGTTTCCTGCCATCGATAAAGAAAGCTAATGGTAATGCTTAAAAAAAAGCCCCAAATACTAAAAAAATCAATATAGATTCCATAAATCAAAGGCATTTTTCAGTCTTGTCCCAAGCCAAAGCCCCTTAGAGGCACAGCCCCTGCCTCCTCGGGTTCTGTGCCCTCCAGAGCAATGCCAGGCACGCACACAATGACCTCCTAAGTATAACTGGTACAGACTCAGACAAAAACATTATTTGAAAATTATTTCCATTTCTTGTATGCTTACTGGGGTTTGTGAACTGCAAGGAATAAGTATCTGTTTTTCATTTTTAATGAGATGAGACATCCTGGACTCACAGTGTTTGTAACAGTTGGGACATTGTCTCAGACCCGGGCAACCAGAGGAGGTCCTCCCGCTTGGCCACTGTACAATGCTGCCTGTGCTCTTATTGGGAAAGGATGCAGATCAGTTGCCTGCTGAAATTCCCTGATGCCATGTGATTATTATTGGGGATTTTCAATGAGCTCTAATTCTTAGATGGTAGATCCCTGCTCTTCAAGAGTTCAGAACTGAATCAGTTTAACACACTCTCCATGGCCCGTTTATTTTTGTGGTCATTTTAACAAACAATTTGTTAGATTCCTGCAAAAACATAGCCTAAAAAAATTAATAATGTAACAGTTTCAACCAGATTCTTAATCTTTTTTGCGTCGTGGACGCCTTCGACTGTCTGGTAAAACCCATGGTTCTCCTTTTTAGAATAATGTTTTTAAATGAGTAGAATGAAATATGAAAACCAACTATATTTAATGAAATTAATTATATTATATTTAATGAAAACCAATTATATTTAAATAGTTATCCAAATGTTTTTTAGGTTCACAGAGTACAAGTTAAAAAAAAAACTTATCTTAGACAACAGTCAAAAGAGAAATTTAAAAGCTAATGCCCAGAGGCAGACTTACTGGCCTTGCCAGTTCTGATATTAGAGAACAGTCTAACGAATAAAGAAAGGGCTTCCTACATATTGCCAAAAATTCTTTTTCAGTAATTATACCTAACGTTTAAAGAATGATTTCTTCAGTAACGCCTTCCCAGTTATCGTAAATGTGCTGTTTTCCTTAGTCTTATGCTTGACATATTTACCCCCATCAACAAGGAGAAGATCCATGTTCGGTAACTGAAGCAAGGATGGAACCTTTTGGCGAGCTGGAGGTCACTGGATTTCCTCTCTGGAGCGTAATGTCCCGCTTCCTGTCTTCCCCGCTCCAGGGCTGGCATCCTGTCATAACTGAATTCTTCTCTGTAGGGATCTTCCCTTGTCATAATACTTGAAAAACCTTTTTTTAGATGAATGAAACTAACATTTGTGATAAAGCATACAGAAAACCATGGGAAAACATTTGCCAAGTGGGCAGTCTCAGCAGAGCACAGAGCTTATTTGGGGCTAAAACAAAAACTTTCAATTACACAGTCTAGCAGGCTTCCAAGACACGCACACAAATAAACACAATCCATATCTTATAAGGGCACATGAGAGGCAGAGTTCTACATGAGGGCCCAAGGGGAAGCTCTGTTCTTAAACCTTCCTTTTTCCCTTAGGAGGGCACAGGTCTGGATAGCAGAACAAAGCTAGAGACAACTCAGGTGACCTTGACCACCACGGGAGGCGCCCCAGGGCACGAGCTGGAACTAATCACTCTGGAGAACAAACAGAACTGGACCAGTTTATGTGCTCGAAGCCCGCTTGAGGATCGTAGCCTTACAAATGGAGAAGATATGTGGAGAGTCACCGAACAAATGACTCCCTCTCCTTCCCAAGAGCAACGCGTTTAAGTTTTTAGATGAACAACTTCACTTTACGAATAAAAAATCTGATTTCCCTCAATCTTTTGCCAAGCCATTTACAGCTTCTAAAAAGCTCTTCTATGCAACAATGGGCTGACAAATTTTTTTAGCAGTTTAAAATCTCTCCACTTACCTTCAACCCCAAAGTTTGCTGTCAGGTCTAAACAGTTTGGTGAGTGGAGCTGTCTGGTCACTTTGTAATACTCTCACTGGTTAACAATTTAGCCTTTCTTTGAGAAGTTTATTCCTCCACTTTGAGCTTCAAAAACATCTATTCAGAAATGGAACAAAAGCCCAGCAAAAACTGTAGTTAAGCCAGGGAACAGGGGAACGTCTCCTGAATTTTAATGAGGAGAAGAAACTGGAAGATAATTTTGGCAAGATTTTATACACAGAAAAGTTTTCCCCTACCACCAAATCATTTCCCTGGATATATAACAGCTTAATGTAAGCTTCATATTTCTTTTCAAAAACTGTGGTTGACCTGAAAACTAAGAAAGTACTTACTGTTGATTTATGTGTGCTTTGGAACTTCCCAAAATAATATTTTTAAATAGATTCTCTCTTATATATAATTCTTATGCTTTAGTTCTTAATGAGAAAGGAGAATGATCACTTGAAAATAAGAATACTTCAAAATACAAATTAACAATGCTTCCTACTCACACTATTAAATCTTAGCTTTTTTCCTTGAAACAATGATGAACTTGCTTTTACCAAAAAAAAATTTATTATACCATTTCCAGGACTTTTGTTTTAACCAGTAATAATGGTGATGAAAAAGATGTTCTTTAAAAGGTCAAACATTCACACACTTGACTTAAGCTGGGAAGGCACTTCAACAGAAGACAGCCTAATCAAATAACACAATTAAAATTCAAGTAGGCAGTACTGAGACACATGAGCACAGTTCCATTGGACCCTTTCTTTCTGCTCAGTAAGCAAGGAAAAAGTACAGGAATGCACTTAGCCTGAAAATGCTGGCAGCTGAATAGTGACAACAGTCTTTTAAGAGTGAACTTGTTAAGAACCACTATAACCAGGAAATCGCCCAAACCACAACATACAAAGACACCAGCACCTTATGCTATCTCCAAGTCCAATTTCAGCAAAGCCATCCACTTCCACATTGCTTTCTTCCTTTAACCAAAAAAGGTTCAGTAACCTCCTTCACAAACTCTTATCTATGAATTCAGTTGTTTCAATTAGACCTCATACAAACCTCCCAATTTTATCTGGGCCATTCTTCACTTAATAAATGTCTTTTTAAAAAACATCTTAATAATCCAAATTGATTCTAACTCATAAAACCATCTTCTACTTCCTTTAATTTAGAGAAAATCCTACGCCAATGTTTCCAACATTTGCATAGAATTACAAAGACTGTACTCAATTACTATAACTCAAAGCCAAAACAAACAAAAATTCCCAAACTGCCCAAAGCAGCCATCTCTATAGTTCATCAGTGCAGTCACTGAGAAATGTTTCCTTATTTCTTTCATAGAGTACAGTATTACATGACCAGTGCTGTCACTGGATGGACCACTGGATATATCAGCCTCAATTCTGCCTCAATTCTAACATAAAAGGATGGTAACTTTATTAAGAGACATTTCCAAATGCGTTTGTTTCTGTTAGCGTACTATTATTCCATGTACATCGTCTGTTTTGTAAGGTGTACATGCAAGGGTGCAACAAATCTCCATCCCTTCAGCCAAAGCACCTTCTCTAATATTCCATATGCTTTAAAAGGGCAATGATCATTTTTTGTTAATTTAGTTATTGCCAGTTAGTCAACAGGAATTTATTGAGCACTTACTACTGGGCTACATTCTAATGAGAGAGACAAGATGCAAAAAAACACTCTAAAATATGGAGAGAGTGGACAGAAGTAAAGCTAAGAGGGTAAGGTAAGAAGAAGGGATGCAGAAATTGGGATTCGAGCTGAGTCTGAAAAGAAGCCACAGAAAGGAAGAGGTGAAGGTGAGGAGGTTAGCGTTAGCCCAACATGAGGGGCAGTAATGAAAAGGCACAGGGGATGGAGGGTCTGGCGAGAAGAACAGCCGAAGACCAACATGGCTGGATTGTGGAGTACGTGAATGAGAGGAATGTGTAAGAATGGAAAGGGAGAAAGGAGCCAGGTCTTTAAAAGACAAACAGAAGATTTTACATTTGATCCTACAGGTAACAAGGAGTCAAGGGAGCAAAGGTGAGAGCCAGACTAAAGAGGGTTTAGAAGAGAATTAGAGGAGAGGAAGCGGAGGCACTGAATGTGGCCGGCGTCTCAAGAAGTTTACCCACAGAAGGGAGGAGAGACTAGAGGGTGAGGTAAGAGAAACAGAAGATTTTTTTAAGGATGGAGGAGAGATCAGAGTGTTTGTAAGCAACAGGGAAGCAGCCCCTAGATAGGGAGAGATTGAAGTGATTAGCGAGAGAGTGGGGATGATGGAGGAGACAACTTCCCGGAGAAGACCTCAGCCTCCTAGCTTCCCTGGCTTCCTTCTAGACTCAGCTCCAATCCCACCTCCTCTCAGAGGCCCTCCAGGCTGGCCTAGGCCCTCTGCTAGCGTTTCTGATGTTACCTCCCACTTACGCTTTCATATCTTCTACCGACATAATTGTCGGCGTGTTGGGCTCCCCATCAAATGGAGATCCTGGAGGGAGAAGCCTCATGGCTGCCCTTCTTTGTACCCCCAGCGCTTGGCACAGTATTGTGCACATAGCAGGTGCTTAATAAATGCAGGCTGAGAGATCGAATCAGATGCCTGCAGAGAGACTGGCACGGCAAGGAGAAGGGACCCCTCTTTCTTCATATGACACAAGAGCAAAGGAGAAGGTTATGGAGAAAGGTCTCTGAGTGATATAGGATAAGGAGGAGGCCGCTCCCTGCCCGCTGAGACGCTGGGGCAGGGTTGCTGTGGGACTCTTATGGAGGGGTCAAGTGGCCTGAAATGCCCCTGCGGTGACTAGGAAAGCAAATGGAGTTACTGAAAGCATCTTCAGAAAACACTGAATTTTCTTTAGTAGCAAACATGCTGCTGTTGTGCAGGGTTTTCAGGTAAAACGTGTGAAATTCCATCTTGTATTTTCAATTGTCCTAGTCAAAGCCTTTGGTGCAGCCTGAGTTGATCAGGGTTTGGGGAGGAAAGGACAGGCCCCAGCAGATCTTAACCAAGCTAGAAAAAATCAAAATTCTGAGCTAGTGACTCAGAACTCTCCCAAGACCCAGCTACAAATATAAGAAGGAAATATGCAGATGAGAGGAAATCATATACCTGTAAATTACAGGATTAGCAGCAGCGCAGAAACAACAGCACAGCTACCTGTTTCCACTATTTCCTCCCTTCTCCAAAAAAGCGTAAACTAGCCCAAGCAATTTTCCAAATTCTCACTGAACTAATTTAATAGTATAAAAACTAAACAGAACACATGCTGCATAGCTTATGGTTTAAACACAACCAAACAGAACCAAGAAAAAAACAATAGTTGGTAACCTTCATCCAATTCAGCGACTAGAAAACGTTTATTAAATAGTTATTATGTATAAGCAAGAACTGGCCAACAACAGGAAGCCTGGCTCTGGCCCAGCGTAACCAAACAATTCCAAAATTCATCTGAAGGAACCCAAGTCCAAGAATCTCGAGGGGAGAAAGAGGGGAGGGGAAGGGAAGGAAAGAGAAGAGAAGGGAAGGGAGGGTACGGGAAGAGAGCCAAGTGTCTGGGAAGCCACTAACTCAGGGCGTGACCGAGATACTGAAACCGCAAAGGAAAGTAATAGGGAGCAGACTGACAGGTAGGAACGGACCCAGAAGAAAGTAGTACCTTGAAAACCCAGATAGGAGTGAAAATAATGAAAAAAAAAAAGCAGGCAGGAAGGAGTCTTAACAGTAGCAGGTTTCAAGCTAGACCACAAAGCAATAACAATAAAAACTATTGGGCGCACAGCAACAGGGCTTTGGCGCATGGCCAGATTACTCAAGATGGCAGCACCCACGTGGACACACCAAGGACTTACTTAGACAAATTCTGAATTGGCTGTTCCTGACAGCCAAAAACTATGGGGCTAGCCTCCTATCGGGGAATGGCTAACCTCATTGTAGTATGGGCATGTAACAGAATATCATTGTGCCACAAGAGATAATGAAATGGATAGTTTTAGAGGGAAATGGGGAGACATCTATGATCTGATGCAGAGTAAACAGAACTAGAAATAATACTATATAGAAAAACAACTTCAAAATCTAAATCTGATAAAATTATGAACCACCAATCTAAGAGAATGAAGTCAACAGAGATACGACAAACTTAAGGTGCAGAAAGTTAACACCCATCTTCAGACAAGGCCAATGTGGAAATCTTATTGTGCCAGGCAGCCATGACCTCAGGACTTATTTTGGTTTGGTTTGGTTTTTTAATTTGTTCAACTTGGGGTAGGAGAAGTAGGAGGAACAAATTAATAAAAAGAAAAATTTTAAAGGATACTAATGTGGACACACCATATTTAAGGTGGCACCAAGGTGCACAGAGTATAAGGCCTGTAGTCAGGATGACCTGAGTTCAAATCTGGCCTCAGACACTTACTGGCTGTGTGAGCCTGTGTCACTGAACCCTGTTTACCTCAGCTTCCTCATCTGTCAAATGAGCTGGAGAAGGAAATGACAAAGCACTCCAGGATCTCTGCCAAGAAAACCCCAAATGGGGTCATGAAGAGTCAGATACGACTGAACAACAACCCAAAAATTACCCACCAAGCAACTGGAGGAATACAACTGCAACCACTCTTTAAGGAGGTAAAAACACATAGACCTAAATAACTCAAGAAACTGTATCATTTTGGGTACAATGTAACTAAAAACAATGCTACCTACCTTAATTTAGTTATACAATGCTAAGCTGCCAAAAGATTACTTTGTAGTACTAAAAAAAATCATATTTATCTGTAACGCAGAACATTATTTTGCCATTTAGGTAGTAGGACCCTTTAAGCCATGGAAAGCAGAAATTACTGCTTAATCTTGCCCCAGACCTCTTTCCTCCTAAATCCAAACAGTAGTGAAATGTACTCTTGCATAGCTGCAACGCAAACGGATAAGAAAGCTTGCAATATAATCGCTTTAG